CACATAATATATCATAGATAACTCAAAAGGTGTCTGGTATTGATTTTGGCCAAATGTTAATTGCTTTCCTGACCGTTAGTGGGGCCCGCACCACTCACAGCCGGTCAATTGTTGCGGCTGAAATTGATATCAACGGTCAGAAAATGAATTTTGGTGGCCATTTTAATGGCCACCAGACAGCCCTCAATCTATTTATTAATCTTTATTTTTCCACTAAAGATAAAAAAATATACTCTCAAAATATATAAAATCACAAAAGCTAAAAGATAGTGTGTGTATTTCATCATCATCCTCATCTGAAATTCGATAACTAGAAACGATCTCAAATAATTGTTTTGCCCATCTAATTATTCTCATTAACGTACAATAACGTCTGCTAAAAAAACTTATTGTCTTTCCTTCAATCCCTAATCAACCCTATCCATCATCATATATCCCCATATTGTTCTAACATTCTTTATCGTTTATAGCGTCCAGCGTAGCGTCTTTGGCTTACACTAGCATTTTCAAATACACAAAAATTTGCCGACCCGAGATTACAAGAAAGAATCCCAAGCAAAATCCTTCTTAGATTCACTAGGATGCTTTATCTCAACAATTCTGCCAACGTACCAAAAAGAACAATTTTTAGAATATTATGCTGAAAAGATATAAAAGAAGTTTTCAGGAGAAGGTAGAGAATACCAAGATCTGCAAATGAAAGAATGATTGCAAATGAGGAATTATTTCAACAAATTAATTACTTTCCATCATTTTGGGAAAGATTTAACAAAGCCCAAAGAATATCATGAACCCCTAAATGACTTATTTCTCTTTGATAAGCAACATATGTGGACGTTCCTTTTAAGAAGCCATAAGTTGGTGGCATCTGCATCTTCAGCAACTAATGGGAATCGTTTTTGAAAAAAATAAAGCTGGAAACAACTTCCTGTTGAACCTGTTGAAAACAAAAACAAATATACACGTGCCAAACACTGCTCAGATGTGGTTGCAAATTGCCTTGGTGAAATCGGTTGTCGTTGATTTACCACCAAGATCGGCTGTTCTATACTTCCCTTCGGCAATCGTTTTCAAGATAGCATCCTGGATTCTACATGGACTCAATAATATTAGATGACTAATAAATAAGCAGTTTTAATAAGGAAGAGGCGTTAAAATTAAAAAGATTAAGTAGAAATGAAGTCAAACAAATAATACATAAAAAGAACTCAGCCAAACAGCTAACTGAAATGTTGTCTACAACTCACCAACAAGCAAGAATATTATCAGACAACCTCATCTAGGTAGTCTCTCATTAGTGCAACAAAGTTCAAGTTAAGGCCTATGGAATAAGCTATGACATGCACAAATACAAAAAAAAAAAATTCTATATTCAGCCGTGCCTTTTCTCCGCATTTATCCAAATAAAATACAAACGAGCACTAAATGAAATGTTTAACTCTCCAAGTGAACTAAACTACCGCAAACCTTTCTTAATGTCAACCAACTTTAGAAACACAGCAGAGAGAGGTAGAGAATTCCACAAAATAGGAAACATTGTCATTTGTCTATAGATAAAAATCCTGCCCAAAGATGGGTTCTCATAATCCACTACTTCTACGGTTCTACCTTATACCACATTTTTAATTGCATAATATATAGAATGCTCATCTGAACTAAAGTGATTTCACTTAATTAGAATATCACTTCTGACCATTTTCTTGACTGCATTTCCAGAAATGTCTTCAAAACAGACTGCCCAAAGTTGATAGTCCTAAACAACCTATGCAGTAGCAAAAGTCACACCTATGGGCTGTAGCTTGTTGAAGAATAATGAACTTCCACTGAAATGTAAATATATATTAATTAAAAAAAATTACACTCAAGTAAAGCGCTAACTTTACAACAATTTGGACTCAACTAGTATTTTTGGTACATATACTATCTATTCGTCTAAAATTGTTAATAACTTTTTGGAAGGAATAGCAATGGATCCCACAAAATGTATGGATAATAAATGTGCAGTAATTATAAATGTGTGGTTAAAATTAATATATAACTTTGACATAATAAAAAAAGGCAATTATTAGTTAGTTTTTAGGATACACGAACAAAGCAAGAACATATGCAAGTACAGGATCTAAACCCGAAGCATTTCCGATGAACAGATAAGTTTATGTCAGCATACCTACTGACAACCAAGTTCATAAAACAAATACACTACAGCCACATAACTGATTCAAAGGGTGATAAAATCCAACAGAGAACGTCACATACCAGAATAGCTTTGATACCAACTGTTGTGAAACAAACTATCAGATTGAGATGTTGAAGTTATATGACAAATAATAATGAAATATTTGATCAAGTAAAAGAATAAAGAAGACAAGAAAATGATATAGGAATTAAGAGATTTTATTCACTAAAGAATAATGGAAAAGAAAGAAAATTATAATAGATCATATAATTCTAGTAATCTATTTTCTCACACTATAAAATTGTATAGAAGAGTCTAGTATTTATAGAGAATAAGTAGGGGCTGTCCAAACTCACCTAGTAGAGCTGTTGATGAAGTAGGATACCATAAATTAAATCCAAAACAAATTTCAACTCTCAATGGGCTTCCAAAATAGAATTTCAACATGACATAGGACTCCAATAATTTTTCAAATTTGAATTCTTCATAACATGCACTTCAATTAGAATTCTTCAATTACTTTAACAAGGAATTCAGGTCACACCCAAATTCTAATAATTTTCACCTTGACAAGAATTCCACCAACGAATGAACTGACTTTTTCAACATTAACCATAAAAATTAATTTTTCCAACCAAACACAAAATACTCCACCTCTTCCAATGAATCCAAGCACTACTCTGTAGAATTACCTCAGATTCCAAAAAATCATAATAATTTTATAATTTACCAAAATGGGCTGTAACACACCCCAAAGCAGAATCAATGCCAAATACTTTTACAGAAGGCTCATTTCTAGATTGTACATCTTCTACTCCAGTTAAATCATGCTCAACAAAATCAGCATCTACATACCCTTTTCCATTAGGTTTGTCCCTAACAATTGAATACAATGACACCGCAGATGATGATGGCAAAGCGCCATTATCCATATTTCTTAAATTCCAACGAACTATATTATTCAAATTTATGAGCTCGTGAAGGTATTATACCAATATGAATGTCCACCACAGTTCTGAACTTGTGCTGATTGACTCTTCTAAATTCTGCACGACCTTACAAGATGTATAATCGAGACTTTTCATGTCCCTCCAATACAACTTTGGCACCCTTACAAACTTTCAAAACTCCACCTCCACCAAAGAACTCATAACCTTTTGAATCAAGGATAGACAACGAGATGAGAATTTCTTCAAATCTGGAACATGTCGAACCTGACCAAGTGTTCTAATTGTCCCAACCAAAAGCTTCAATCTGATTGTGTCAATTCTAGCAACGCGACAAGATGCATTGTTTTCCATAACCACGACACCTTTGGAAACAGTTTCATATGTAGCAAACAATTCCTTATTAGGACACATATGAAACACAAATGCTGAATCAAGAATCCAATCATCTTTCGGTTTAGACTCAATGTCAAAAATAGCTAAGAGTTCCCCATCACTTACAGCATTCTCCACAAGGTCTGTTTCGCCTAAAGTATCTGAATATCTACTTGCAGCCATCATTTCTTTATTTTGCATTTTGTAGCAATCCCTCTTTAAGTGTCACTTTTTCTTACAGTAGTTATAAATTTGATTACTGAACTTAGATTTCGATCTGTCCCTTGAACAACCAGGGTTTTTCCATCTCTGGCCTCAGAAATCAGATGTTTCATCTTCTCTTTTGAATACAAAGCATTATACACTTCCTCTATGGTGAGACTATCACAACTATACAAAATCGTGTCTCTAAATGAAGAAAATGAAGTGGGAATTAACACAATAGGATCAAGGCCAAATCTTTTCATCATACTCTACTTCAAAAGTTTCCAAATCAGCGACGATCTCCTTAAATACAGTCAAATGATCTTCCAATGATCTCCTTCTTCCATTCTATAAGAGTATAAACACTGCTTGAGGTTCAACTTGCTTGTCAGACTTTTAGTCATGCACAACTTCTCCAACCTCAACCATAAAGAAGGTGATGAATTCTTCTTCAAAACGTTTTGAAGAATAGTATTTGATAGATGAAGATGAATGTGAGAAATCGTCTTCTTATCCTTCCGTAATTTCTCCCCCGCGTCAAAGTTGCAGGCTTGTCAATATCCAACAATGTATCATCCAAATCCAGTTGTGCCTGTACTACATATATCTTAACTTGTCATAGCAAAAATCTAGTGCTCCGACTCAAAAGCAGAATGTCATACTTTATAGAAGTCATCACGAATAAAAAATCTCAAACAAATCAAACATTGTGCTCTTGCGGAACTGCTAAACCTGGCGCTCTGATACCAGTTGTTGTAAAACAACCAAAATATCAGAATAGCTCTGATACCAATTATTGTGAAACAAACCACCGCTAACTTTACAACTTCAATATACTTTTTATTATTACTTGTATTTGATCAATCAAAATAATAAAGAAGACAAGAATATGACATATGAATTAAGAGATTTTATTGATTAAAGAATAATGGAAAAGAGAGAAAATTACAATAGATCCTATAATTCTAGTAATATATGTTCTCACACTATAAAATTGTATAGAAGTGCCTAGTATTTATAGGAAATAAGTAGGGAATGTTCAAACCCACCTTATAGAGTTGATGAAGTAGGATACCATAAAATTGAATCCAAAACATATTCCAATCCAAAATAGAACTGCAACATGACATAGAACTCCAATAATATTTCAAATTTGAATTCTTCATGACGTGCACTTCAATTAGAATTCTTCAATTAGTCCAACAAGGAATTCGGGTCACACCCAAATTCTAACATGAACAATTAGCACTATTAGATTATGGAGCAACATATGACCAAGAGTTAAGAATTAGAGTTTCTTAGAAGCAAACCTTTCCAGCGATATCAGGGACAGAATCATGTACAGCCTCAGCAAGAGCAATACCTCCCTTACCAATATTGCGCAGCTGTGAGGAGGAGAACGGCCAAGTAAGAATAGTTAATCAAGTGACCTTTAAGAGACCAATAAGTTGGATGTACATTGGTGTTAAGCCCAAGCCTCCAATCAAACCAGCACAAAGGTCGCTGCTGATATCACCTTAAAGGTTAGGCATCACTAGCACGTCAAAAAGTGCTGGATTCTTCACAAGCTGTACGCGGAAAGAGAGACGGTTAACTAAAACATAGCTTCAACTTTGTTCTTAATGAATTTAGAAGGGAAATATAGGGCATCTTCAATGTGATCTCATTGTTAACAATATTGAACAATATTGATGCAAACAAGCTTCCTTAAGCTTGTTCAAAGTTATCAGCCTGCAACAACTTAAATTGCACACAAAGAAATTGCACACAAAGAAATGGATAATCTTCGATACCATCATACAACAACTTTTAATGAAGACTTCTTCACATACTATTTCAGGGTACTTTTCTGCAACCTCATGGCGACACTGCGAGGTACAAAAGGAAATTAACAGTTTTAAACATTAGAAAAATAAGACCATACTCAAGCTTTTATCTGAAGGCAGACCTTGAGGAAAAGACCATCAGTTTTCTGCATAATGTTAGCTTTGTGTATGGCAGATACCCTTTCTCTTCCATGAGTCTTGGCATAGTAGAATGCATACTCTGCAACCCTCAAACTTGCTTGACGTGTAATAATATTTAGACTTTCAAACAACACCCCTCACCACCTACAAGTGTAAGGAAATCAAACTCTGAGTTTCATTTTCTTATTCAATAATGTAAGTGCTCTGCAAATAAACTTACTTGATGTTCAAGTCTAATGTACTCTCCTTTAATGTTTTCACGGATTGTGATGAGATTTACATCATCGTACTTAGTTTTGTACCCTGGTAAGCTATGGCAGGGCCTAAAGTTGGCATATAGATTGAGCTCCTTCCTCAAGGTAAGATTGAGAGAGCGATGGCCTTTCCCAATTGGTGTGGCCATTGGCCCTTTCAAACCAACATGGTTTCGTCGCATAGATTTAAGACTTTCCCATGTTAAAAAACTTTGGGTTCTTGAATCTATCTCTGTGCCTACGGTGTTCTTCTCACTTAATCGACACACCAGCAATTCTGAATACCTGAATTTTCATAAAATTGTCCTCAAGACCAGTTGGCTTATATAATTGGCACAAAAAAGCTTGTAGGAAGAGAGTGTCATGGATAGATTTAGGGTTATACTACATGTACATAATTTTTTTACATAATCTTTTACACCCCAATCACATTAGCAGATGGGGACCACGAGCCGCCATTTTTAAACACACACGGGCCCTGCACACATTGTGAGGGGGGTACACCATTCGGTACCCCCCATTCGGTACATCCGGCATTTCCCATAGATTTAATATAGTAGAAACAATGAAAATGCCCATGGCCATATGAAGCACAGCTTGTAATTCTAAGACATGTGTGCCAAAAAAGGATGACTTATCACTAAAATAATTAAGAAATTTTGGTTCAAACGCAAATAAAATCTAAACATTGGGGAACCAGCTTATTTAGCGAGTGGCCGAACACCATGTTTAGCACAGTTAAAACTAGTATCCAACACAACGGATTCATGGATAATTATAAACTATTCGACTGAATTTTTCTTGGAAAATTCACATGCTGCCAATCCTTTATGCCTAAGAAAGATATTCAAGGGGCTGTTGCAAAAAGACCTTACATATTTCCGTTTAGAAATAGAAACTACTGTTAATTCAAGTATAGTATCACCGGAACAGATCCATGCTTATAGAGTCCAATGCAGAAGTTCAGTTTCATGAACTACCTAAAGTAAACCTCAATTCTACATCATACAGAAAAAAGAAAAGAATAATATTTGTACAGCATAACCCTTGCCAAGGACTCTTGATGTGAATACAGGTCATTTTGGCCACACCCCCAACCCAAAGTTTCTTTATATTACTCCATTAATATAGAATTGCTTTCTAGATACGTTCCTCGGAAAATAAGTCCACCAAGTAAGAAATTGTAACCCATAGTTATGTTGTGTATTGCATCCAAATCTTGGACAGACCACTGATCACGTAAGTGATTAGCTTAGTGGGTGTCTCGAGAGGACAGTGAGACGGACAAAAATTGACTTCTTCCTCATCAAATTTTTTTTTTTTTTATATTATCAGCTTCAAAATTCTATTCAAATGTTAAGAAAAAAAATATTGAACTTTACCTTGTCCATCGTTCAGCATTCAGCCAAAACCAAAGTATACAATCAAAATGAACATTTTAGCATATATATGCATCTATACATGCACCAAATAAATGAAAGATAATTAATTTTTTATTTCCCATTCATCTCCGGTCAATAGACAGTCAATAAAGACCCAAATAGAAAATGTAAAAGAAGTGTTAAGGGATAGAATTTCACATCAAATAAAGATAAAAACATAGACCAATTTATACAAGGTTTGACCTTTTAAAATAGAACATCAATTCTTAACATGGTATCATAACTCATTAAGCTCTAACCAGCAATTCGATCCGATTAAGACTCCAAAAGTGAGCATACGGATTTCAAGATTGGTCCGCTCAAACGAGCCACTATCTTGAGAGGACATGTTAGGGAATAAAATCTCATATCGAATAAAGATAAAAACATAGACAAATTTATAAAGAATTTGAGCTACTCCTCTTAATAAGGTCGATCTTTTAATATGGAATCTCAATTCTTAACAAGAAGCTAGAGCAACACTTTAGAAACATAACCGAAATACATCACCCACGAAAGTTGAATTGAAACTTCGAAAATTGCATTGTAGTAAATCAAACATTGGATTATACACACGAGGACTCAAACATAGAGTTTTGGTGTAAATGTTGAATTTTTTTCAAAATATTGATTGGTGATAAAATCTCGAATTTTTTAGAAACCTCAAGTTGCTCGAATATTTCAAACCGGGTACTTTGATTTTGATAGGCATTTAAAATTTGAAATTTAAAGAATCTAGCCAACATGGGATATAACTATAGTCTCAATATCAAATATACGTTGTCTAAAGTTATTAGAAGGGTACTTGGTGCAAAACGTCCATACCTATGACAGGTTTTGTAAAAAATGTCCCTACGTTTGATTTTTTGGTGCAGATAATCCCTATCTTTGCATTTTCTTGCGCAAAACGTCATTTTCACCAGTTTTTAACATAAAATGATTAATATACCCTCATATTTAAATAAAACAAAAGAAAAGAAAAATAAAGAACAAATTGCCCAAACTTTTTAAAGAGTGCAAATAACCCACCAAACATCACATTCTTCCCAAAACTCACCCCTGCCCCACTGCCGCTTGCCGACCATTTTCAGCCATCTTCCGGCCACCAAAGAAAGCCAAAACTACACCCACCATTGTGAGTCTACCCAGTGCTGTGACTCCACCCGCCATTTCAAGTCCTCAAACCACGCCAATCGACCATGGAACTCCCATTACCCCCAATCAACCCTGGAACTCCATCGATACCATCACCTCCATCTGGCGACGGCCATAGAACCCCAACACCTTCTCCTAGAGGAGGAAGCTATGGCAGCATGCCACCAGCTGGTAACTGCTAAGAACCCCCCAAGTGGATGGCACCACCATACTACTCCTATTACTATAACCATAACTCTTATCCAGACAGCTCATTTTGTCTAGATTACTGTTTTCTTTACCATAACTATCAAAATTAAATTTAGGAATATCACCTTTATTGAATTTATGAACTGGGTTTTCAAGATCGTTCACCTGATGTTGCCATTCAGTGAGTTTCTTCCTCATATAATTTTGACAGTTTGTAGGTCTGCCAAAATGAGCTGAAACTTGAAATTTCTTTGAGCGAGGTAACCAGAAGATAAACTGATGCATGAGGGTGTAAAGAAGGTCTTCTAGAGTTGGGTAAGGTTACTCTTGATGGGTATTTGTTCTTTTTCCAAGTGGCGAAGGGAAAATTGTGGGATAAAAATGGAATTTTAGAGGAAAGTGGCCGGTAGGCGGCGATGAGACTGGGTGAGTTTTGGGATGAAGGTGAAGTTTGGTGGGTTATTTGCATTTTTTAAAAAGTTTAGGCAATTTGTTCTTTATTTTTCTTTTCTTTTATTTTATTTTATTTAAATATGAGGGTATATTGGTCATTTTATGTTAAAAATTAGTGAAAATGACGTTTTGCGCAAGAAAATGCAAAGGTAGGGATATTCTGCACCAAAAAATCAAACGTATGGACGTTTTCCACAAAACCTGTCATAGATAGGGACGTTTTGCGTCAATTACCCTTATTAGAAAGCACACTTCATTTTAATTAAGAACGAAATTTGACTGTTTTATCTCAACTATCTCGTGGCACATAATTACTCGTTACTCTAAAAATGACAATGACAGTAATATAAAAGCAAGAACATGTATAGTTAACTAGAAAAAACCACAAAAAAGATTTGAATTAGCTGATTGGAAGAGGTTCACCATTCCAGCCATTGAGGCATTCCAGCAAGGGATCAATGATCAGACCCTTGCTCATAGCTGTGAACACCTTGTCGCACTCCTCGCCTGGCGAGGTAACCTTCTCTCCAGTCAACAATTCGGTTCCCAGTTCCTCCCTTACAAACTTGTACAATGGATAGGATCGGCATTCCTTAATCCGGTTGGGAATAGCTGGATTTCCACTCTCGAGGGCAGTTCTTGCACTCTCGACTTCTTTGGGCAAAAGGGCATTTAATTCATCTTCAAATGCTCCAATCTTTTGGAAGATGGACGTGTTGGATTCCTTTTCAGTTTCACCATTTTTAAACGCGTGCTCAACAAGAACTTGCCTGAGTTTTTGCATCAACGGGTAGGTTGCGCTGCAGGGATCGTCAATATAAGCAAAAACATATTCGCGATCCACCACAAAAAGCAAATCCTTCTCACAGAATCTTGGTGGATAGAGTTCCCCATTAACACCCACCGTTAGAGTTTTCTTAGCAACTTGGCTAACTGTATTCTTAACAGCGTTCCTCAAATTCTCCTCCAAGTGCCTCAAATCAATTGCTTGACACAGTGCAGTTAGATATGTGGATGACATCAGCTTCAAGATATCAACAGCCTCGGTTGTTTTTCTCGAGGAAATCAAACCCAACGAGTTCACGTCTTGATTGTGTTGCTCGGCGCTTTGGACGTGGTTGGTGACAGGATTTGCCAAGAATTGGAGTTCTGAACAGTAAGAAGCCATAGCAATTTCAGCCCCCTTGAAACCATAGTCCAAGCTAGGATTTCTCCCTCCAGATAGGTTGGATGGCAATCCATTATTGTAGAAATCATTGACAAGTTCAGAAAATTGAGCAAACATCAGTTTCCCAATTGATGCAATAGCTAATCTAGCATTGTCCATGGAGACTCCAATAGGTGTCCCTTGGAAGTTGCCACCATGTAACGCCTTGTTCCTTGAAACGTCAATCAAGGGATTATCATTTACCGAATTGATTTCCCTCTCGATCATTTTAGTTGCAGCACGAATCACTTCGATTTGTGGGCCGAGCCATTGGGGTGATGTTCGGAGAGCATATCGATCATGTTTTGGTTTCTGCAAGGGATCCATTTCATGTAGTTTCTGAGCAGCCTTCACATAGGAGCTTCCATCCAAAATGAATTCCATCACAGCAGCAGCCTCAATTTGGCCAGGATGGTGCTTCAATTTGTGCATCAAATGATCGGTAAATTCAGGTTTCCCACTCATCACTTCTGCGAAAATGGCTGACAGAACTTCAGACATCAGAACAAGAACATTGGTCTCAAAAAGTACAATTGAAGCCAATCCAGAGCCAACTGCTGTTCCATTGACAATTGCAAGGCCTTCCTTGGGCTGCAACTCGAAAAAGCCTCCATTGACACCGGCAAGCTTGAAGGCCTCCTCGGCCGTCATAGTTTCTCCGGTAGGCCCTATGGCCTTGGAATTGGGTCTGCCAGTAAGTAATCCGGCGATGTAGGATAGCGGGACAAGATCACCGGATGAACTGATCGTGCCACGGAGAGGTAAGCACGGAGTTATGTTGTTATTAAGGAACTTTGTAATTGCCTCCAAGATTTCGAATCTAATACCGGAATATCCTTGGAGAAGGGTATTGATCCTAACAAGCATGGCTGCTCTTGTTGCTGAATGTGGCAGTGTGTGACAAGATTCTGTTCCATTTCCAAAAATCCCAGCATTCAAGAACCTGTTACAATCAAATACATCATTAGACTACATATAATTTTGTCATTCAAACATACGACTCATCAAAGCACAAATTGGATCTTAATCTTACTTACTTGAATAAAAAAATAAAAAATAATACTCCATGTTCAGTCAACGGTCAGAAACTTGCCACCCATTTCATTCAATTTTGCTTAATAAATATACAGTTAATGCATTGAAGCTGTAGGTGACTTCAATCCAACAAAGGGTCCATTTCTAGGAACTCATAATTATTTACATATGATAAAAAAATATTTATTTACTCAATAATAATTATTTCAACTCATTGATTTTTTCTTGGGTCACTTCCAAATCTTCATCAACTTCCAAGAATAATCATTCCTAAACAAATTTTGCAAGGTATATCACGTAATAATTGTGTATGGACGAGTAAATTTAACATGTCACGATAAAATTGGATTTTCCATGCAGCATTTTTTCAAATTTTTAAAGAATAGATTAAAGTTAGATAAAAATTTGGTTACCTAATAAGTTCATTCTGGAGGGCACCACCTTGTTTTGTCCTCCTATGTGAAGTGGCACCAAAACCAGTGGTGACACCATTACTATCAGTCCCTTTATTCATACTATCCATAACCCAATCACTGCTAGCCTTGACGCCGGCTCGTGCGGCCTCGGACAGCTCCACCTTGACGGCATTATCCCGGGAGGCAATCGCTGCCACCTGAGACATGGTTAAAGTTTCGCCACCGAGCTTCACCACGGGCTTCCTGAATTCCTCCACCATAAGCTTCACCTCATCGAGGTGGCTACCTGTCAATGACTCGGCAGCCATTCCCCAGTTCAATGGATCTTTGGCGCAAAATTCCAAAAGTTTGCAGTCTGACTTACCAGTTTCCATCTCAGCACTCATGTTTATGATCAAATGATCAGACTCAGATAGTCAGAAATGGAAACAGAACTTGTGGCTTTAAATAGAAGGCAGCATTTGATTACAAATATTGGTCGGTGGAAGGGTATTTAGAATCAGTCGGGTAAAGTGATAGACGGCATTTGATTACAAATTTTATTCAGCGGTCTTGATTTGCTAATGTGAGGACAACGTCATATTTCTAGGTGGGTGTTTGTGAGGGTTACAATTAGATTTTTAGTAAATTGTGACAGAAATTTTTGAAATATATGATTGAAAAGTTGTGAAACCATGAAAAATGTGATCAATATTGATTGTTTGACTTTGATTTAAATTAAAATTTGATTTTAATCCGAAACAAATAAAGCCTAAGTATATTTACCCATCCAAGAGGGTGGTGGTTGGTAGTCGTTGAAATAATTGCATTCAACTTTTTTGCATTGCAAAATTTCAAAATTAGTCCTCAACCTATCGTCTATATAGAAATTTGATCCACAAATTTTGAAAAGTAAGTTGATTCTTAGTCTTTCATTTAGTAGCACATTCAATTTGTGATGAAAAAGAAGCATGTCACTGAAATATATTGTTGATAAATTGATAAAAAATATGAATTCTAGTAAAATGTAAGATTAAAATTATTTATTGAGTTTGACTTAGACTTTTATCATAATTTGAAGCGACACTAAACATGAACTATATTACTCTGTTAAATTAGCACATGGAAACTTATCACTTCAAATTTTTAATTGAAATCGGGAAATGATATATGCGTTCTTAAATTTAGAAATTTGAGAATCATGTCCGAATTTAATAGAGATTGACTTTTTTTAAAAAATCTTTGGGACTGATTTACTTCTTATAAAGGTTGAGTCCAGCTTGCAACTAAAATATAAGTTGAGGGGCCAACTATCACTTTCTTGATGTAATAAATTTAAAAAATAGGTATTTCATTGAGTAACGCCATTCATTTAGACATTTAGTGTCAGTCACCAGTGATTAAAGACGTATATTCCTGCGGACAATCAGCTGTCTAGATAAATAATATTATTCATTTTGATGGGATGGGGTAATGAATTTTGGATAAATGATAACTAAATTAGAGAGTGTTTGGTAGAGATTAAAATCAGATTGAAATTGAAAAATTAACTGTTATTGTTGACTTTTATTAGATGAGTGAGACCCAATAACAGTTATATTTTCAATTTTAATTGGATTTTAAGTCGTACCAAACAGGCCCTTAATAAGTTAAGGACAAATAAATATAATTATGAGTTAATTAAAAAATTAATGTCAATACGTTGCCAAGAAAGTTAGGTGGCAGGGTCGAAGTAGATTACACTGAAATTTATAAAAGGATAACAAAATTGTTGTTAAAATAGAAGGTCGAAGAGTTAGATGACGAGAGAAATGATAAGCGATCAGTTTATGATTATCCCAAATGTCAAGAAATAATATTGTGAAATATTCAGAATAAAATTTTGACAACTTTATTGTGATTTTGATTTTAGGGATACCCTACCTATTTGATATTCCGCTGCATTTTTAAAAAAATTATTTGTAACCACATATTCTCTCAATAAATAATTTTACACATATATTCATAACTTTTATTTGTAACCACATATTCTTCAAAAAAAATCACTTTTTACAAAAAAAATATACGTCAAACATAACATAACCAATTCTTCATCTATTTAATGGTTGGTTAATTGCAGTCCACGAAACCCATTCAAACTGAAATAATCAAAAGGAGTTGCCAGGCAATTTCGTTTAAATGGTTTTTAACCTTACCTACCACACAAATCTATCATTCAATCTCTCTCTCTCTCTCTCTATTACATGAGAGCATCTCAAAGAGAAAATGGAGAGCATATTCTATCATTTGGAGAGTATCTATAAATTTAGATAGTTAAAATTTTGAAGTACTCCAACAATCTCTTTATATTTAACACTTAATTTTACTATTCCCAAAAAAATATTTATTCTTTTGTTTATCTTTTATTTTAATCAGCTTTTCTTTAGATTAATCTATTGTTTTCCTACATTAAAAATTGAAACTTTTTAAAAGCATTTAATTAAACTCACTCTCTAAACTAAAATGTTAATTTAAAGAGTCTTTTGGAGATACCCCCACATTCATTATTTGAAATCTTAATGGTTAGAATAATATTTTTTGAAAAATATATTATTAAAAAAGAAGAAAAAGTTTTGAAATTATATGTAATATTATTTTATTAAAAAATATATGACTGATAAGAAGAAAAAAACGAATTATAATTTTAATAGGTGATGGTTGATAATAAATTTGGATTGGTTTGACTATGCACATGCCAACTTTGACCCATCAACTTGACAGTATCCCAATTTCTTCAATTTTATAAATTTTGGTCATTGTTTAAATTTTAGAATGGGTGAAATTTATGTGTATTCAAGCCAAATGTACAGAAAATTGCTTCACAGATGGTTTACCTATACTCACATGAATGGGCCCCATGCGGGACCCATTGTAATAAAAATAGTAAAAAAATCCCTCCCACCCCTCCATTGTGAGATATCTGTGGGGGTTCTGTGAACCATCAATCTGTACCTCAAGCACTTCTCATTTAAGCCCCCGTTTGCCCTCAACTATTTCAACTTTTAACAGTTGGAATAGTTTTTTTTTTTTTTTTGAAATATATAGTTAAAAAAGAAGAATTTTTATTTAGATTACGTGTAATATTATTTTATTAGAGAATGCGTGGTTAACATGAAAAGAGAAAAAAATGAATTATAATTTTAATGAAGCCAAACAAGGATTAGTGTTCCCTTGTTTGATAGGTTGTAAAATCAAATTTTTTTATTAAAATCAAAGTCAACAATTAATTTTAATAACATGTTTCATGAGACTATCAATTTTTAATCTAGACAAACAACCAACAACTTTTTAATCTTGATTGGCTAAATTTGTTGTAAGAAACCACTATCCAGTTGCCCTCATAAAGTAAACTTATCTTGGCTTTTGAAATGTTAGCCTTCATATGCAACCAAAACTTGATGAACCTACACTTGCATGGTTTTCGCAAGCTCTTTTGCTCAATAATGGAATCTCTTGCATGGAGTAGTTGTCAATTCTTATTTCAACAATCACATTGGGTAAAACTCACCCTTAAAATCGGTTCGTAAGGAAGAGTATCCAAAATGCTTATAACTCACAAGACAAACATTTCACAAGTGATGTGGGTACGATTAGATCGTTACACTTATCTTGATGGATCAATTCAAGTGTTTGCCTTGCCCTCATTTCTAACTATAATACCCAAAGGATCAAAGGTTGATCACCTTGCTTGTCAGATTTTTCATACTTGTGTGCTTCAACTTGCCTTGCCCTCATTTAGCTATAATACCCGAAGGATCAAAGAATATGCACTACGCCTAAATCGAGTAGAACAAGAACATAAGAAACATTAGAGTATGCATCTGACAACTTCGCTAGTAGGACCCGTAATACTCCTGGAAAATGTGTTTTTTTGTTAAGGACATACATCTATTTAATGGAATGCTCATCTTTATTGGAAGACTCCTTTCAAGTTGAAGTCAATAATCTTAGGATCCGTTTGATTCCAAGAATGAAATTTGAGTGAAAATAAAATGAATTTAAGGGAATTGAATTGTCTAGAATTAGTTTTACTCGAAATTGTCAATTAACTGTGTTTGATTGGTATAATTTTCCATCTCGAAAATATTAAAATTTTAGATCTTTTGGTACTTAGTTTTGTACCCTGGTAGGCTATAGCAGGGCCTAACATTGGCATATAGAGTGAGTTCCTTCCTCAAGGTATGATTAAGAGAGCGATGGCCTTTCCCAATTGGTGTGGCCATTGGCCCTTTCAAACCAACCTTGTTTTGTCGCACAGATTCAAGACTTTCCCATGTTAAAAAACTTTGGGTTCTTGGATATATCTCTGTCCCCACACAGCGTTCTTCCAACTCAATCGGCACACCAGCAATTCTGAATACCTGAATTTTCATAAAACCATCCTCAGGACCAGTTGGCTTATATAATTGGCACAAACGAGCTTGTAGGAAGAGCGTGTCATGGATACATTTAATATAGTAGAAACAATGAAAATGCCCATGGCCATATGAAGCACAGCTTGTAATTCTAAGACAGGTGTGCACTAAAATAATTAAGAAATTTTGGTTCAAACGCAGATAAAATCTAAACATTGGAGAACCGGCTTATTTAGCAAGTGGCCGATCACCATGTTTAGCGCAGTTAAAACTAGTATCCAACACAACGAATTCGACTAAATTTTCCTTGGAAAATTCATATGCTGCCAATCCTTTATGCCTAAGAAAGATATTCAAGCGGATGTTACAGAAAGACCTTAAATATTTCCGTTTAGAAATATTAACTACTGTTAATTCAGTATAGTATCACCGGAACAGATCCATGCTTATAGAGTCCAATGCAGAAGTTCACTTTCACGAACAACCTAAAGTGAACCTCAATCCTACATCATACAGAAAAAAGAAAAGAAAAGAATAATATTTGTACAGCATAACCAACAGCAGCTTGCCAAGGACTTTTGATGTGAATTCAGGTCATTTTTGCCCCACCCCCCAACCCAAAGTTTCTTTATATTACTCCATTAATATAGAATTGCTTTCTGGATACGTTCCTCGGAAAATAAGTCCACCAAGTAAAAAATTGTAACCCACAGTTATGTTGTGTATTGCATCCAAATCTAGGACCCACCACTGGTCACGTAAGTGATTAGCTCAGTGGGTGTCTTGAGAGGACAGCGAGACGGACAAAAATTGACTTCTTCCTCGTCAAATTCTTTTTTTGATACTATCATCTTCAAAATTCTATTCAAATGTTAATATATTGAACTTTAACTCCTTCCATCGTTCAGCATTCAGCCAAAACCGAAGTATACATAATACAATCAAAATGAACATTTTAGCATATATGTGCATCTATACATCTCCAGTCAATAGACAATGAATAAAGACCCAAATGGAAAATGGAAAAGAAGCTAGAACAACAGTTCAGAAACATTACCGAAATACATTACCCACGAAAGTAACATTTTTCACATTCACTCAACTATAAGATTATTTAGATACTGAATGATAAGTATGTACATTAAAAAAATTAGACATCGAATAAAACGTAAAGAAACACATCAAACGCCAAAACCACGTTCTTTCACGGCTCACTCAGCTACACTGGTAAAAACATTGAGCGGATAATGAACGGGGTACATATAGTCAGATTGATAAGCGTGAATGGACCTGTTTCACGGATTCAGCGATTTCAGGCCCGATACCATCGCCGGGGAAGAGAGTAGCGCGGATCAGATTGGATTCGGAGGAGAAGCTCCGATTGAAAAGGGTAGGGTTTGGAAAGGAGGAGGAGTAGATCCCACCAAGTCGGCTACGAGCAAGTCGTTTCACAATTTGCAATGCCATTATTCAATCAATCAAATCAATTAACAAATTGCAGTATTTATACTATGGGTTACTGTGTAATATGTTTACAAGTGCGAAGCGTAGCAGAGAATGTATGCTACTGCTGGACAAAGAAGGGTCAACGGGTTTATTTTGACCAATGCAAGGTTGGCACGTGTCACGTGATGAAGCACCATGCGTGTGTTTAGTTAAGAACGAAATTTCAGTGTTGCATCTCAACAATCTCAAAGGCACATAATTACTCGTTACTCTAAAAATGACAATGACAAAATCTTCGTAAGAAATTGAGGCTTAATTTGAACTTTCATTTGGATTTATCAACATCATTTCTTCACAAACCAATGCATGGGAATAGGAAGTTTTAGTCCCAAAGTCTTGTTACAGAATTCAATAGGTTCAAATGTTTAAGAACATGTATAGATAACTAGAAAACCACAAAAAAATTGAATTAGCTGATTGGAAGAGGTTCACCATTCCAGCCATTGAGGCATTCCAGCAAGGGATCAATGATCAGACCCTTGCTCATAGCTGTGAACACCTTGTCGCACTCCTCGCCTGGCGAGGTAACCTTCTCTCCAGTCAACAATTCGGTTCCCAGTTCCTCCCTTACAAACTTGTACAATGGATAGGATCGGCATTCCTTAATCCGGTTGGGAATAGCTGGATTTCCACTCTCGAGGGCAGTTCTTGCACTCTCGACTTCTTTGGGCAAAAGGGCATTTAATTTATCTTCAAATGCTCCAATCTTTTGGAAGATGGACGTGTTGGCTTCCTTTTCAGTTTCACCATTTTTCAACGCGTGCTCAACAAGAACTTGCCTGAGTTTTTGCATCAACGGGTAGGTTGCGCTGCAGGGATCATCAATATAAGCAAAAACATATTCCCGATCTACCACACGAAGCAAATCCTTCTCACAGAATCTTGATGGATGGAGTTCCCCATTAAAACCCACTGTTAGAGTTTTCTTAGCAACTAGGCTAACTGTATTCTTAACAGCGTTCCTCAAATTCTCCTCCAAGTGCCTCAAATCAATTGCTTGACACAGTGCAGTTAGATATGTGGATGACATAAGCTTCAAGATATCAACAGCCTCGGTTGTTTTTCTCGAGGAAATCAAACCCAACGAGTTCACGTCTTGATTGTGTTGCTCGGCGCTTTGGACGTGGTTGGTGACAGGATTTGCCAAGAATTGGAGTTCTGAACAGTAAGAAGCCATAGCAATTTCAGCCCCCTTGAAACCATAGTCCAAGCTAGGATTTCTCCCTCCAGATAGGTTAGATGGCAATCCATTATTGTAGAAATCATTTACAAGTTCAGAAAATTGAGCAAACATCAGTTTCCCAATTGATGCAATAGCTAATCTAGTATTGTCCATGGAGACTCCAATAGGTGTCCCTTGGAAGTTGCCACCGTGTAACGCCTTGTTCCTTGAAACGTCAATCAAGGGATTATCATTTACCGAATTGATTTCCCTCTCGATCATTTTAGTAGCAGCACGAATCACTTCGACTTGTGGGCCGAGCCATTGGGGTGATGTTCGGAGAGCATATCGATCCTGTTTTGGTTTCTGCAAGGGATCCATTTCATGTAGTTTCTGAGCAGCCTTCACATAGGAGCTTCCATCTAAAATGTATTCCATCACAGCAGCAGCCTCAATTTGGCCAGGATGGTGCTTCAATTTGTGAGTCAAATGATCGGTAAATTCGGGTTTCCCATTCATCACTTCGGCGAAAATTGCTGACAGAACTTCAGACATCACAACAAGAACATTGGTCTCAAAAAGTACAATTGAAGCCAATCCAGAGCCAACTGCTGTTCCATTGACAATTGCAAGGCCTTCCTTAGGCTGCAACTCGAAAAAGCCTCCATTGACACCGGCAAGCTTGAAGGCCTCCTCGGCCGTCATAGTTTCTCCGGTAGGCCCTATGGCCTTGGAATTGGGTCTGCCAGTAAGTAATCCGGCGATGTAGGATAGCGGGACAAGATCACCGGATGAACTGATCGTGCCACGGAGAGGTAAGCACGGAGTTATGTTGTTATTAAGGAACTTTGTAATTGCCTCCAAGATTTCGAATCTAATACCGGAATATCCTTGGAGAAGGGTATTGATCCTAACAAGCATGGCTGCTCTTGTTGCTGAATGTGGCAGTGTGTGACAAGATTCTGTTCCATTTCCAAAAATCCCAGCATTCAAGAACCTGTTACAATCAAATACATCATTAGACTACATATAATTTTGTCATTCAAACATACGACTCATCAAAGCACAAATTGGATCTTAATCTTACTTACTTGAATAAAAAAATAAAAAATAATACTCCATGTTCAGTCAACGGTCAGAAACTTGCCACCCATTTCATTCAATTTTGCTTAATAAATATACAGTTAATGCATTGAAGCTGTAGGTGACTTCAATCCAACAAAGGGTCCATTTCTAGGAACTAATAATTATTTACTTATGATAAAAAAAAATTCATTTACTCAAATAATAATTATTTCAACTCATTGATTCTTTAAAGTTAAAAAAAAAAAAGTAGTTTTGAATAAACAGCTAAGCAAGTGGGCCGCTTAACTATTATTTATTATCTAATAATTCAGATTTTTTTCTTGGATCACATCCATGTCTTCATCAACTTCCAAGAATAATCATTTCCAAACAACTTTTGCAAGGTAATAATTGTGTATCGACGAGTAAATTTAACATGGCACGATATTTTCAAATGTTTAAAGAATAGATCAAAGTTAGATAAAAATTTGGTTACCTAATAAGTTCCTTCTGGAGGGCACCACCTTGTTTTGTCCTCCTATGAGAAGTGGCACCAAAACCAGTGGTGACACCATAACTATCAGTCCCTTTATTCATACTATCCATAACCCAATCACTGCTAGCCTTGACGCCGGCTCGTGCGGCCTCGGACAGCTCCACCGTGACGGCATTATCCCGGGAGGCAATCGCTGCCACCTGAGAGACGGTCAAAGTTTCGCCACCGAGCTTCACCACGGGCTTCCTGAATTCCTCCACCATACGCTTCACCTCATCGAGGTGGCTACCTTTCAATGACTCGGCAGCCATTCCCCAGTTCAATGGATCTTTGACGCAAAATTCCAGAAGTTTGCTGGCTGAGTTGCCATTTTCCATCTCAGCACTCATGTTTATGACCAAATGATCAGAATCAGATGTTCAGAAATAGACACAGAGCAGAGGAAATGTACTGTGTGTTGTAGGAAATTCCTGAATTGTGGTAGATAAGCTTGTGGCTTTAAATAGAAGGCGGCATTAGCTTACAAATTTTGGTAGGTGGAATGGTATTTAGAATCAGTCGGGAAAAGTGATAGACGGCCATAAGGGGGTTGGTGGAAGATTAATCTTGGCCGTGGATTTTAATTTTATTCAACGGTCTTGATTTGCTAATGTGAGGACGACGTCATGCTTTTAGGTACATTTACTCGTCCAGGATGTTGGTGGTTGGTAGGAGTTGAAATAAAAGTAATGCTATTCATCTTCAATGAAGATAAAAATACAGTACTGGGGATGAAAATACGATCTATGTGAATTTAAATGATAGATTAAATTATAAGTGAAATTAAATAAATCATTTAATTTCACATATCATTTAGCCTCTGTTTGACACCCATTTTAGAAAAAAAATTAAATTCTGAAATAGTGATTGATTGAAGAATGTGTGGTTAAAAAGTAATGAGAATTTTTGGGTTTATGTGTGGTATTATTTTATTAATAGAATGTGTGGTTGAAATGAAGAAAGAGAAAAAAAACTGAGAATGAGATTGAGCAAATTTCCCTAATTTTTGGCATTTAGCCCCTGTTTGACGCCCATTTTGGAGAAAAAATAAATTCTGGAATAGTGATTGATGGAAGAATTTGTGGTTAAAAAGTAATGAGAATTTTATGGGTTTATGTGTAGTATTATTTTATTGATAAAATGTGTGGTTGAAATGAAGAAAGAGAAAAAATGAGAATGAGATGGGTGTCAAACGGGGCTTAATGACACATTAACGCAACATAAACTGTGTAGTGGGGATGAATAGTGTTACTCTTGAAATAATTGCATTCATTTTTTTGTAGAGAAATTTCAAAATTAGTCCTCAACCTATCGTCTATATAGAAATTTGGTCCACAAATTTTGAATAGTAAGTTGATGCTAGTCTTTTATTTAGTAGCACAGTCGATTTGTGATGAAAAAAGTATGTCACTGAAATGTATTGTTGATAAATTGATAAAAATTATGAATTCTATTAGAATGTATGGTTAAAATTACCTATTGAATTTGTCTTAGATTTTTTATCATAATTTTAAGTGACATCAAACATGGACTATGTCACTCTTTGTTAAATTAGCACGTGGGAATGGGGAAACTTTTCACTTCAAATTTTTAATTGAAATCGGGAAACGATATATGCGTTCTTAAAGTTAGAAATTGGAGAGTCGCGTCCAAATTTAATAGAAATTGGACTTTTTTTTTAAATCTTTGGGATTGATTTACATCTTATAAAGGTTGAGTTCAGCTTGCAACGAAAATATAAGTTGAGGGGCCAACTATCACTTTCTTGATGTGATAAATTTAAATGAGATGTATACATTTAATTAAGTGATTAAAGGTATTAATTGATGGGATGGGGTAATGAATTTTGGTTAAATGATAACTAAATTAATTAGTTAAGGATGAATAAAAATTAATGTCGCAAAGCAAGCGATACGTTGCCAAAAAAGTTAGGTGGCAGGATCGGAATAGATTACACTGAAATTTATAAAAGGATAACAAAATCGTTCTCAAAATAGTAGGCCGAACAGTTAGATGACGAGAGAAATGATAAGTGACCAATTTATGATTATCCAAAATGTCGAGAAAAAATATTGTAAAATATTCAGAATAAAAGTTTGAGAACTTTAATTGTGATTTTGATTTTAGGGATACCCTGCCTAGTTGATATTCCACCACATTTTTTTAAAATTTATTTTTCTCAAAATTATTTTGTTAATC